TACCTCGTGTCATCCTCCCGTTTTAAGATCTTTCCCCATACACGCCTAAACCCCGCGTACGGGACCTCCAAAGAAATTTGTTAGCAGGAAACGATTTCGCGAACCAGGCAAGGTAGAAAGCTGAAACTTTGCAGGAATATTCTCTATGCACGTGCGAGATAAAAATTTTAAACTCAGCTCTCTAATTCCTCAACCACAGCCTCAAGCAGCTCCTGAACTCAATAATCGTTAGCAACTCGGACCTGAACCGCAATTGTATATGCGAATGAACATGGATTCTTTGAAAAACGACCGTCTGAGCAATACTTTCAATTTTTTAATGAACTGAAAATTTGCATATTTCAAAAAATTCGTTCGCAGCTCGGACCTTAACCGCAATCGTGTATGTAAATAAACCTGCATTTTTTGACAAACGACCGCTCGAACAATACTTCCGCTTTTTAGTGAACTGGAAATTTGCATTTTTTCAAAAAATTTGCATTTTTCATTTTTTCACAAGGCGAGCACTTACCGAAAAAACAACCGAACTTCATGCAGAAAACCGGTAATCATGCACCTGGATGTCCGTGCGGCTCTATAATGCCCCACCTTCATCCCAACTGATGCCCTTTCTCCTGCATGCCAGAAAGGATCAAAGCACGGCCAATATTAGCCCAAGTGTTAAGCCACAGCGTAGGGATCATTCGTGCTAATAGCGATCTGCGAGTTTAGTGCAAAAACGCATGATCGCACCGGGAAGTCTGGTGCGTTCCAGTCTGGGCTGATCCCCTCCCTTACGCAGTGGGGAAGGAAGTCGACTGAGCTCAAGGAGTTGCATTATAAGGCCGCGTGGACCTTCGATGGGCATAATCATCAGTCTTTGCACGAAGCCCGGTTGTTTTTCCGGTGAATGCTCGTTTATCGAAAAAACGCAAATCTGAAGGAAGTAGGAAGAGCATTATTAAATCTGCGAAATGCATCCGCTTTTGAATTGGCGACAAAATTGAGTATTTTTCGTGTTTGCTTGCAGGGAACTTCACCTTCAAACTGAATTAAGACCGCACATGAATACAGAATATCCTTGCAGAGTTTCGGCCTTGCAGCTTGTCTGGTAAGCAAAATAGCCTCTTCGACACAAACATCTTTAAAGTGCCTTAAGTGCCCCGGCGGCAAGTGCAAATCGAAACTCAATTTATGTATACAATTTTTCATATGGACGATAAAATCTACTGACAAAATTCCAGCTTCTCTTTTCCGGCTAGTTTTCGAGTTATTACAGTGTCAACTGTATAGCTTGACGTGACCGTGCGCGCAGCATAAGTGTGTGCAATAGCTCAGTTTGAAATCTTTAGCTTGCACATGCCCAGAGAATATCCCTGCAAAGTTCCAGCTTCCTATCTCGTCTAATTCGCGAAATCGTTCCCGTCAAAGAAATACGCATATTTATTTCGGGGGTTTGTACGCAAGATTTAGGCACGTATGCGCGAAGATTTTAAAACGGGAAGATGACACATGGAGTAGGAATATAACTCCAAAATTTCAGCCTTCCAGCTTTCCTGGTTGCTGAGTTGAAAGTGAGTGGAAAAGTTTACTCGCTCCTGAACACAAACACACACACATACACACACACACACACGCACACACACACGGATAACCTTTCGACAATATGCATTTCTGCATTTGCATAAAAACGCATTAAACTCAGGCTGGAACGCAGCAAGCTCGCCGCCGCGATCAACGTTTCTGCACCAAGCTTGAAGTAATTAGGTCACTTGCATGGGTAGTTGTTGCTTCTCACCTACCCTGTGCGCTCAGTACTATAAATCATTGCAAATTTTGCATAAGCGAAAACAGCAATTCCCTTTTAGCGGTCATTTTTTGAAAACAACCCAGCTGTTTAAAGAGCAATTTTCTCGCCGAAAAATTTGAGTGCTCCTGCACGAGAACCACGCACACCTGCAGCCTGAATTTGAAACCTTTAAATCGCATTTGGACTGAAAATGTTCACCTAAAAATTTTATCTTTCTAGTTATTCTGGTTTTCGAATTAGCAGTTTTCCCTCCAAAACTTTCGCGAGGCCAATCGTGAACTGGGGGCATACCTAGGGACTGGGCTTAAAATCTAACTTGTATCTGGGTTGGAAACATCCCTTTTAAATTTCGTCCTTTCAGCTTTCCTGGATCACAAGTTAGCAATTCTCCCCGCCAAAAATTTTCAAGGAGCCGTTCGGGAGAACCACACAAGCCCAGTGGCTGAATTTGATAAATTTAAGTTGTGCAGGGGCGGGGAACACCCCCTTAAAATTTCGGCCTCCGAGCTTTTCCGGTTCTTGAGTTAGCCATTTTCTCGCAAAGCATTCATGGGGCCATACATGAGAACTACACAAGCCTGGGGAGCTAGATTTGATGACTATAAGTTGTACATGGGCTGGAAACATCCCCTTAAAATTTTAGCCCCCTAGCTTTTCTGGTTCCCAAGTTAGCGAATTTCCCGTCAGGGACCCTCACGGGGCCGTACGCGGGAACCACGAACAACTGGGGACTGAGTTTGAAATCTTTGAGTTCAATGTGGGCGGGGAACATAACTTCCAAATTTCAGCCTTCTGGTTTTTCTCGTTCCCAAGTTAGCAATTTTCCTGCCAAATTTTCACGCCTTCGCACGCAGGGCCCAGACGTGCGTGAGGGTAAATACCGCGGCCCTGGGATGGCACTTGGGATGGCAACTGACAAAATTTTGACGCCGGAGCTTGCTTGGTTGCCGGAGCTTGCTGAAATACCCGGACAGACGAACACACACACACACACACAACCAGGGTCGTCGCAATACACGCTTTTGTAATTAGCATTCATGCAAAAACGCATAAAAATCGATGGAAATGAAATAATGCAGAGTTGAGGACCCTGAACGGTCTTACGTGGAGAACAAAAACACTGCCCAAAATAATGATGTTTTTGACCCACCTCAACGAACACACGGCCGTTTCCTGCAATTCGCTGCGATAATGAGTTCTGATATCTATCACTAAGCAAATTATGTGGATCTGATGGGCACAGCCAGTCCACAAATAGTTAATGTACGATGTTCTTTTTTTAAAGCAAGTTAAACTGTAACAGAAATGTTGCTCGACTGCCTGAATATATTACCAGCGAAGGCGAAAATAGCGGAGCGTGTGAAGTGGTATGGTTTTTCCATATCGTGCAAGATGGTTGGAAACGCGGAATGGCCACCATAGGCAAACAAGTAAGTACCAAGTGCCATTAAGTAGTTCGAAGCCACGAATTTCTGATTGGTACCACGAACTGGCGCACATGTTGGATAATCCAGTACGGCACCGATCATGACCAAGAACAGCGCACACGTCGTTGTTACCATTGCTAGCACAACAGCCCACCTGAATTCATCTCTCAGACTGTAAAAACTCTTTATCGTAAAATCGGGTACAGTCATTTTGACCACAGTTTCCCTTCACTGTTGCGTTCACTAGTAAAGCTGCATGACAACGACCACGACATGCTGAGACCATCTCATTTCGCAGTAGCGGCTGAACCCCTGCATTAGCTATTTTGTTCGATCATGGTTATCGACACTAATCCCACTCATTCGTTTCCAGTGTTACGGAAATCAGTTTTTTTTTTCGCTTTTTTTCGATAGAGGTTGCTCATCGGCAGAACAAACTATTCGTTGTTACAATTTTCGAAAAAGTAGCTGTTTTATTTTTATTTCTGTTTGAAACAAACCAAACATACCAGAAATCCTGAGGTGATTTCAGGAAAGTTACGGGAAGCAAGCAAGCGCCAACTACCAGTATTATATAACAAAATGAAATTTCAGCACCGAAGAATGCATTGATGAAATCGTGGATGTTTTTCGCGGAAAGCAAAAGGAACACGACAGCTATGCCGAATTGCGTTGTGTCGATGCAAACTGATGCAAAATGCCTAAAACAGCAGACCTCTTCAGTAGTTATTCGCCATTATTCGTTGGAACAACTTCCAATCAAGAAGACCGGTTGAACTTTTGGTGAAAACTCCGGACATTACTGATCCGGATGTCGCAAGCTTGCTTGAAGCAGTTGTAGTGGCCACATAAAATTCTCCCTGGTCGTAGATTAAGTACGAAGTACCACCTCAAGCGACGTGCAAAGTCACTTTATAGGCAGTGTTGATTGATAATGTGCGAATGACAGACAAACCGGGGTGGTGGTTTAAGTCTCGGAGATCATGAAGGGGGAGAACAGGCGGGTAACTGATAGAAAAGACCATGACTGAAGACAGACACTGGCAACAGGAGGGATCTATGAGGGAGAGGGTGTCCCAATGGAGGGGTTTTTAAGCCACGCACAAAACTTCTACTGAGACGGGAGTTAGCCACCCAATATGTACTCATTTTTGGGTCTAGGGTTCTACAGCGAAAATTGCAATATTATATTTTTTGTTTAGGTAAGGTTTTAGGTATCGCGTTCAAGATTGCCAACTTACATCCTGAGCATTAAAAAACTCATAAGCGCATCCCCTCCCCCTCCCCTCTCTCCCTTCCCCCATAAACCTCGCCGTTTCCAATTCCTATCTCCAACCAAGGACCCTGCCTCTTCCCCTCGCCATGACCTCCGAGAGCTAAACCAACACTCATAAATTTCCACCCCCTCCCCCGCTTCCCTTCCTCCTCGCCCCACCCCGCTCAACCATTTTAAACCACAGCTCCTCCCACCCGGTCATCAAATATCGACACCCGAAGCCAGGTGAGTCAAGTTCAGCCGAGTTTTAGCAACTGGATGGTTACCGAAAAGAACTCAGGCTGGAATGCACCAGGCGGGCCGGTGCGATTATACGTTGCACTTTTCGTGCCGAGCAAGATCGCAAAGAATCACAGTAGTTAACCCTGTGACATATCGACCCTCGAAGTTCGGAAAGTCAATTGTGCAGCTATGTGGTGTGTTAGTTGTAGGTGTCGAATTCAGTGACCTAACAAATGGAAAGTTGCTGGTCCGCGAAAAAGACTGCACTAGAAAAGTTAAATTTGAAATCCTTCAGCCGCACATGGGTAGGGAACATTCCCTTAAAATTAAAGCATTCAGTTTTTCCCGTTCCCGAGTTGGCAGTTTTCCCATCAAAATTTTCACGTATTCGTACGTGAGTACCGGACGGTTTTAAGGAGCTGAATTTGAAATCTTTTGGTCATACATGTGTAGGGAACATTACCCTACACAAGTTTCAGCTTTCTAGTTCTTTTCATTTCCGGGTTAGTGATTTTCGCGACAAAATTGCCACGTGCCCGTGCGCGGGCCTCGGACGCTTCCAAACACCTGGTTTTGCTCGTAAATGAGTAGGAAACATTGTCCTAAAGTTACAGCTTTCTAGTTTTTCCCGTTTCCGGGTAGTAATTTCCACGCCAAAACTTTCAAATGTAGCGCATGTGGATCTCGGGCGCCTCTAAACCTGATTTTGGTTGCATATGAGCAGGAAACATACCCGAAAGTTTCAACTTTCTAACTTTTCCCGTTCCTGGGTTAGTAATTTCCGCACCAAAACTTTTACATGTAGCGTGCGTAGGCCTCGGGCGCCTCTAAACATCTGATTTTGGTTGTACATGAATAGGGAACATCCCCGCAAAATCTCAACTTTCTAGTTTTTCCCGTTCCCGGGTTAGTAATTTTCGCGCCAAAATTTCTACGCGCTCGTACATGAGCCCGAGCGCTTCTCAATACCTGATTTTACTTGTACATGAGTAGAGAACATCCCCGCAAAATTTCAACTTTCTAGTTTTTCCCGTTCCCGGGTTAGTAATTTTCGCGCCAAAATTTCTACGCGCTCGTACATGAGCCCGAGCGCTTCTCAATACCTGATTTTACTCGTACATGAGTAGAGAACATCCCCGAAAGTTTCAACTTTCCAGCTTTTCCCGCCTCCGGGTTAGTAATTTTCGCGTCAAAACTTTCAGATATAGCGTACGTGGATCTCGGGCGCCTCTAAACACCTGATTTTGGTTGTACATAAGCACGAATCATCTCCGAAAGTTTCAGCTTTCTAGCTTTTCCCGTTTCCGGGTTAGCAATTTCCGCGCCAAAACTTTCATATGTAACGTACGCGGGTCTCGGTCGCCCCTAAAAAACTGATTTTGGTTGTACATGAATAGGGAACATCTCCGTAAAATTTCAGCTTTCTAGCTTTTCCTGTTTCCGAGTTAGTAATTCTCGCGCCAAAATTTCCACGCGCTCGTACATGGGCCCGGACACTTCTAAATATCTGATTTTACTCGTACATAAGTAGAGAACATTTCTTCAAAGTTTCAGCTTTATAGCTTTTCCTGTTCCCGGGTTCGTAACTTCCGCGCCAAAACTTTCACATGCAGCGTACGTAGCTCTCGGGCGTCACTAAACAACTGATTTTAGTTGTATATGAGTAGGGAACCTCCTCGTAAAATTTCAGCTTTCTAGCTTTTTTCGTTCCCGGGTCAGCGATTCTCGCACCAAAATTCTCACGTGCTTCTACGTGAGCACCAGGCAGCTCTAAGGAGCTGAGCTTGAAAATTTTTGGTCGCGTGTGAGTGGGGAACATTCCCCAAAAGTTTCAACTTTTTAGCTTTTCTCATTTCCGAGTTATGAATTTTCCCGCCATAATTTTCATGTGCCGTGCGTAAGTCCCTGGTAGTTCTGGGCGGCTGGATTTGAAATCTTTTTGTCATACACGGGTAGGGAAAATTCCCCTATGGTTTCACCTTTCTAGCTTTTCTCGTTCCCGAGTTAGTAGCGCTCTAGCGCTGCACTGCAAAAATGCATAAAAATAAATTAATAACAACAATACGGCGCTTGAACTGTTGCTGGAAGGATTCTCAGCTATGGCGAAGTGACGGCGAAACGAGAAGTCAGACGCGTGAGCAGCCGTCACATCACTGTGTCTACGGGGACAGGCTGCGCAGTTAAATCGTCACGCAGTACGTTCACACGTTTTTTGCCGCGGTAGATTTCGAGTTACGCAGGAACAAATGGAGTACGACGAAAAAAGAAACCATGAAGCTGATCGGCGACTGTCACTTTTTCACTCGCCCGTTTCAGACTTCCACCCTACTGCTTTCCCTTCCCAGTGGTTGCGAGCAAAGGCATGGATGGACTCCTGCTGAGGAAGGGGGAGGGGACGACGGGGGGCGGGAGAGAGAGTGGGACTCCTGGAGGACGAAGAGGGGTGGGAGGAGAATCCCCTCCCATACTGCAACTATGCAAAAACTAGGAATAGAGTTGTAATGCTGTTACTTAGAGATACTCAGTTTAGAGTTATTTTAGGTTCAGTTTACTTTAATTTTAACCTTAGACCCGAACTTTTGCAGCACTGATGCCTATGCTCCCCCACCCTTGCTCGGACCCGCCTATGATTGATTGCAAGGTGAAAAGAGGTAAGGGAGTGGTAATGGAAACAAGCTTTTGGACATCTGAAAATGACATATTTGCAAACGCATCTCTTTCCGAATTGGCTTCCGCTATAGCTTCTGCGTCAAAGTCATCCATAAGGTTGTGTGCATGGATCTGACGCTAATTTAGTTCCAGCATATACATCATCCTTGTCTTTACCGACTGAGATGACTCGGAATAACGCGAGGAAATTTTCAGACTAATAAATCTCAATCGAATGATTGACGTTGTTAAAATCAACATCACTCAGGCTGCAGAAGAGTTCCTCTACTTTTCTTAGAAAACGAAAGTTCCTCTACTTTTTATGTGCAGAAATTTTGGTTTCATTCAAATGTATACCTAAACCGTATGAGGGAAAAATACTTTATTGATGAAGAAAATTAGGATCAGTAAATAAAATCTTACTTGGCTGTAGGACCCAAAGCACGACCACCCATTTCCGGATACGGTTTCCGACAATGTTCGCGATATTCCGGCCATCTTCGTTGCAAAATTACCCAGCTAACTCCCAACATATATGCCGTGTATGTCATCGCTATTGCAATCACAAAGTTCAGTGTTAGTCCAGGCCAGAAGTCTAAAAACACTCATGAACAAAGTCCTGATGAAATCACATTTTTAATCAGATCAGACCTATTTTTAATCAGATCAGACCTATTTTTAATAAGATCAAATTCTTTTAAATTTTGTCTTTTAAGGCCTCACTTGTTTGAGCGGTAGCTGTAGGCATGGCAACAATTCCGCCTCCGGCCAGATCACCAACCACAAAAAGGCCTGTCACTACCCATCCCAGGCCTTGCTCATTACGATGGTATCCATCCTTATTTGCTCCTTTTTCCAGCACTCCAAGTGATCCACCTGGTAAAGAAATCTTCCCTTTGCTCATAAGTACGTCTGAAATTGAGAACATTAAAAGTAATTAAAGTGCGAGAAAACGCCCGCATCATTGCAAAAGACGAAAACGTGCCCCACTGACTTATAGAACGACAGGCAACAGAAAAGTTCGTGAGCCAAAAAGGAGAAATATCCTTAAAGTTAATTATTCTCGTATAAAATGTGAAATTCGAGTGATTTTCGAAACAGTGGGAAAAGGGACAAAAAGAATAAGCCGTACGAACGGGAAAATCGGAGCAGCCCTAACTTGTACTAATCGAGAGGGAACCTCAATTTGCACTGTCTAACTCAACTATGCAAGTTTTATTGCTGCAAGAAGACAAAATGAGTTTTACAGACACTAAGATCGGTTCATACATATGAAAGAAGTTCTTCATTACAAAATTTAGGGTGATAAAGCCAGTTGACTCGTTGACTATAGAATGTTTTCTAAGCCGAGAATCGCCGACTTCACTTGGAGAGTGCCATGTATGGGTTTTCAGGTAACATTCAGAATGTGAAGTTCAAACTAGCATCTGAAATTAACACCGAAAAAACATGATTCGCGGTCACACCTTCCGCTCGTGTAAACAAAAAAAAATTCAGGAAAAGGCTCCAAGTTCGCGTAGAACATCATTTTTCACTGTCTTCGGTACGAAAATATTATGTAAACGATAAGCTTCTCAGTTCCTGTCTCAAATGGTCAGTTAATTGCTGATTCAGTGCTGCATGGAAGCAGATCTTCATTACAACGTGTTTTCAGCCGATTTCGCGGGTTGTTGAAGAAAATAAACCAAAAGCGCACTACTGTTGTATTGTTTTAGTGCTGTGCCACCGTTACCACGCTTCGAACAAATGTTTGAAACAAGGCACCTTGAAAGTGAAAGTGATGCAATGGGGAATGGTCGGGAAATGAGGAAGTGAGGTGCGGAAGTGTGGATGAGGGAACCGAGAATCGTCAAAATGGAGATTTCAATGTTCCAAACAACAAACAGAGTGAGGGAATGGAGCATGCGTGGGATGGTAGGACAAGAAAGTGCTGACTACCGGTTAATCTGCATTAGCGGAGGGGTAGAGTCGCAACACGTGATTGGTGCGTGTTCAGTTCAGTTATCACCGGATTACACTGAATCACCGCGTTGGTGGATTAAAACAACGAATCTGAAATAAGCAACGTAAGTATAGACGTGGAAAAGTAGTCAGGTCGGGAGTTTAAAAACAGCTGCGCTGAATTTGAATAAGATTTTGTTAAAGATCATTTTCATGTTAACAGTCGATAGTACGCCTCAGTGGGCAACCATTCGTTTATTTGTTTCAGTGGTAAACTGATCTATTACGTGCCAGGAAGTCGTCATCTGCTGCTTTCTAAGCAACCGTTCGAAGGAAGAGTCAACAGCCCTGTTAGAACGTGACTTCTGTTGGCACGTGTTGCTATTCAGACAAGTTCCAAGTGGTTTCACTTCCAGAAAGTTTGAGGGAGTTTTAACTGTTGATTTTACTACTAAAGCACGACAGGCGTATACGAATCCGGGCTTCCAAGGCCACTGCACGTTCCAGAAATTTCGGCAAGAATCTGTTGTAGTTGTCATTAAAATAAGGCGAAGCTTCATTTTTACAGTATCCTATGATATCAAATGTGGTTGTTTCTTTGGTCTTGTTACAGGTATTCTGAAGCTAAGTCAGGCACACGCATGTGATTAAAACCCGTTTACCTGCTTTCTTTGCTACGAATAATGAACTGTTATGAAGAAGCATGAATACGACCATCATCAAGTAAGCTGAAGGCCCAGAAGGACTATATATGAAATGTGGCTCATGATCACTTCTGCTGGGAAGAAGGAAGCTAGAGCAAGGATATGGACAGCATGCCAGGATCACAGACGGGCTTCCTACAGGGCTGGTCAAGCATCGGTCAGAACAGCAAGAAGAGGGCAAAACAAGAAGTGACGACATGAAAGTACGAAGGACTTGAAGGACAAATGATCAAAGCAATAAAAAGTTATTACCTAATTTAAAAAAAAAGAAATTATTTTTCAATAGACAAACATTCTAAAAACGCCCTTTCAGCAGAATTTTCAAAAACTGAGTAACCATAAAAAGCTTTCATTGCGCCAATGAGTTTTGCTCAGATCAGTGGCATTCCGACAGAATAAAGTAAGCGAAACGTGGAAGCGTAGGTCTCAGTCACCAGCCTTCTCTCCAGCATCCTGAACTGTTTAGAAGCGAAGTTTTGATATTTTTCTTTTCACTGCTTTCGGGCGAATTCCTGACTAAACAATAACCAAGCAGGGGTAACTGAGAACTGGTTGACCTGGCCAGCCCGCTCCAGTTCGAGGTATGTATCCCAGAAGAATCCCGCTACGACACACAGAACCACCCGCAGCCGACTTCAAAAGCGATCAAATTCAGCGGAATGTGCGAATTTTTATAACTGCAGTGGGTGGGGCGGGCGCAGGGCGAGGAGGAGGTGCAAGATGCTTGCAAACAACACGCACTATTTGCTTTATGTAAAATGTGGGCGCAGGCGTTTTTGGCGAGAGAAAGGATGGAGTCGAGAGAAGGCGGGGAGTTCACACGGCGAAAGACATGTGCACTGTGGATCTGACACGCATGGTGAGTCCGGAAGAGAAGCCATCGGGAGGAATGATCCTTCATCGATGACAAAATTTCCTCTACAGATAAGAAAATAAGAAATGAACGCCTTTTTTAGAAAATTTGATATTTATTTTGAGCAGCAGCGGGGCAGCACGCAGATCAAACCCGCGGACGCCTTCTGCACCAGAAAATACTCGTCAAATCTCATTCCTTAACAAGCTTAATAATGACCTGCATTTTATTCAGTATGGTTGAGCAGGATGGAGAAGTTGTCGGTTGCACCGATGGCAAGTGAGAAAACAAGGTGAAACAACAGCTGATCAAAGCATCCAGTATGATTAAGAAATGTCACGCAGATAGATCGCTATTATGAAGGTCATGAAAATCGTGTAAGTTAGTACACCCGGCGTTGTAGGGGGCGCAGTTGCAAACCAAGTGGGAGTTTATAGGTTTCCTTTCAATTCCATTGCAATAGTTATTTCTACATGCCCGCCAAGTAGCAGGACAATTTTACTCCGTTTGTAATTTTATAAGAACTTTCGTCCCTAAATTGGAAGGAGCTGTTGCCAGTATTTTGACAAGTTTCTAGCCAGAATGTCATTCATTCTATTCGTAGTTCTCGAAAGCGTCCTACTGAAAAAATCCCTAGTTATCCTATCAATCGTTTCTAAACGGTTTAGTCACTACCAGCCTGACCAGCGACTGCTGATAGTGCGATGGGCAGAAAAATATAGTGAAAGTAAAATGCATTTAAAGTGGGATAAATGAGTATGTTTTTTCACAGCGCATATAATAATCCCAGATTTCTTTTTTGGAGAATTAAAAGTATATTATGCTTTCATTGATACGGTTTGAAGGAATGGTTATTTTATAAAAATGCATTTTCAGTGTACTTTGCTTTCTTGCCTCTCACCCCACTTCCATAAAAAATAGGACGAAAAATACCAAGATTGTTCTTCCGTAAAGAACAACTCCGGTGTCCCTGCGGACGTTAGAAGTGAAGTGAATAGATTGATTTTCATTAAAATATAGCAAAATAAGTGAACTGTTCAGAGTGGGTATTCACTTTGATCAGCCGCGTCACATCAAGTTGTCCTCCAGCTATTCAGCTCAATGTGAATGATCGCGGAAAGTGCAAAGGAAATGGAGTGTTGCAGAAAATTCACCTTTAAACCGAAATCGATGGATATTTATGCACCAGGACTCATAAAATTGTCATTTTAGTACCAACACTACGTTTCAAAGCTCAAGCGTAGTAAATGATTGAACCATAACTAAGCGTGTTATGGAAACATTGCACTTAGGGACGAGTGTGCATCTCGACAGCAGTGAACATTTTTAAAAAGAGAACTGAAATTTCTGCTCAGAATTCCTATTCTTTGTAGCAAGCATCACCGCGCTGGAAAAAGGAAAGATTTTATACCGCTTTGCCAAACTGAAAAAAAAGCCAGTTTCTTAAAACCTACAGGTATTTATAACCATTTCCAGGCTTAATGACTTCTGAATGTGAGCAATGTAGGTACTTCAGTCTTTTGTGATGAAGCAAATGTATCTCAGAAGCTTTTGATTAAAAATTTGCAGTACCTATAAGCGAGAGCTACAGATGCAAGCCACATTAGCAAAGGTAATAGTAATAATACGCATAAATAATAATATCCAGGGGAAAACAGCCAGAAAGCCTGGGCAGTGTAAACTGTCGAATGTCGAAGACAAATTTGCAAAATAGCTAAAAGCCATTGTTATTCTGATAAAACATCATCAACTTGAATATATTCGTGCTGCAAAAGATCTGTTAAACGGATGAAGCAGCAAAAAGCTGAATATTCGGCGGGCAGAAAGAGTGAAGGAAAAAGAAAAGGACTCGTAAAGATCTTGATCCATTTTTAAAAACCAAATTAATCAAATAAAGCTGCTACGTATGTGGACGCCTCGACGAATTGGAACCTGTTTGGTGACTGCAGAAATGAAAAACGAAATCTTTTTTGAAAGAAAAGATTTTTCACTCTAAATAAAATTGTAGAGCTTTATAAATTTTCAGTTATAAACTAAGAATTTGGGAAAATGTTTCTACAAATATTTCACAAGTTAATAATCATTGCCAAAAATGGTTTTGATAATTAACTGAGAAGAAATATTCTTCAAAATGTATTGGCATAGGCATCATAACTTGGATGAGGGTGAACTTCCAGACATCATGGTGAGGAAAGGAAAAAGCCCTTCACACCCGAGCAAAAGCAGGCTGGCAACCATTTCGTATGCTGCTTTATCACTTAAGAATGAAAATTTGTGATGGTACAATCTATTCATGTAGCTTGAATAAGTCTTTCGACTTTTGCTGCTGCCAAACAGTGCTTACGAAGCGTCCTTACATTTGGCACTAAACTGCAGCAACCTATTGTAAACGTAACATTGCCGAAT